CGCACTCTCTCTTCTCCATATTTTTAGAAAATGAAGTTAGAATAGCTTCGAGTTGATACGCTCGTGCCGTTTATTGAGGTAAAAGGCCGCCGAATTGTCGATTTTCCACGAAAGAGCTTAAAAGCTTTAAGCTTTGTAGCTGAGTTTCAACTAGATGTACTCTTAGGAGTAGCATCAAATATTTTTATATACTGAACAGGTTAACCATGTCCGTCTTTGTGTCTACATAAACGCGATCTAGTCCCAGAGCTTTTGAGATATCGATCTGAAATTTTGCACTTGGTCTGTTTTCACTAAGAAACTGCTTATTTTTCAGAACCGCCGACATCGGATCATTATAGCATATAGCTGCCATATAAGCTGACTAAACAAAATCAAGTCCTTGTATGGAAAACTTTTTTATTTGTGAAGATATCTTCAAAAAACTTTTCGGAGATTATTGTCCAAGGCAACGAACGAAGAAATTGTTCATATCGGACCACTATAGCATATAGCTGCCATACAAACAGATCGATCTTAATTAGCATAAAGGTCGTTTTAAACTCTATTATGCTATAAAAAATGGACCTGTGTTGGGTATTGTAGCTACAGTGTAAATTAACGTTTTGTTTTGATTTTAAATGTTTATATAAAATTTTGGATTAAAGATTTTTGCATAGATATTCAATAAAAATATTTCAAAGTTAATTAAATTGCGAGAAAAAAAATCTGAAAAAGTCTGCTTCTTATTACCTTTCCCAGTAATTTCTAAATTGAGCATGCAAATGGGCGGCAATTAATGTCGGGTTATTAAAAGCAAGCTAGGAACACCTACAAAATACAGTAAATGCAAACACACACACACATACACTGTATATAAAGCCGCTTTGGAAGCGCCTTGCTGTGTAACTTATTCTAAATTTTCAACACAACGATGCTTTCTACACTTCTAAAATCCATATATTAATCGAATTAACTATAGAAACCTATAAACTTGAGAGAAGATAAAATATTTTGCACATGAAAAAATCAACTTGGCATAAAATTAATATGCGAATGCACAGTGGTGCATTATAGTGAATGCTGTGGGCGTTTATTATGACTTCAAATGCATTGTAAGTTTGTTAAAAAGGTATGCAATGTGGTTTCTATTGCTTTTGCTGTTGTTGTTGTTGTTGTTGTTTATGGCATTGCTGCAGTCAGCAGTCGTGTCAGTTTGTGATTGCTGTTGGCTGGTTGGTTGGCAATGTTGGCGTTACTTTATGACGTGTTACAAACGCTGGCACCTCAGCACGTACGCACGCACACACACAGACACATATACATATATGCAGAGACAGACCTGCACACCAGCTAATCAAATAAATAATATTCCTACAAGTTATTATACATAACTGAATATGAAAATGTAGTTAATTTTTTGCAGTTCTACACACACTCATACTTATATATGTATGTATATATATGTGTGGTTAAACACACACACGCTCATAATTAAAATCGCAGGAAAAGAGCGCAAGAAAAAAACGCAAAAATTAGCCCGATATAAGTAGAAGCTGCCGTTGCAGCGCCCACCCTCTGCTCCACGCTTGCAGAGTTGCACTTCACGCCATCACTTTCCACGGCAAAATGATAGCAACAACAACTCTATTATATCTTTGTATCTTAGCTAGTTGCTGCTATTTTTTCACACTCACTATACATACAAACATACATATATATACATACTCTTATATAAATATACATACATACATCCATATGTAAGCAACGTGCATAATGGCCAACACTAGCACCGGACCAACCTCAACTTGCCACAATTATCCCGCAACGTCAATTGTTGCTCTTCCAGTTGGTGTTGTTTTTTATTCTCATTGCTTTTTTGTTTTGTTTTGCTGTTATATGTACTTTGCTTGTTGTTGTTTTTGTTGTTGCTTTGCCGTTTAATTGTTGTTATTAAGCATTGTTGCGGCTGCAATTATTGCTGTTGTTTGTGTTGTTGTTGTTGCTATTGTTGAATATTTATACTGCCTGGTATCTAGTTTGTTCATGTTCTTGTTAGAATCAATTCTTCATTTGCCTTTATTTCATATTCATTACCATTCGAGCGAGATTATTAAATTCTTTCAATAATTTATTATGGTCTTAACTTGCGGACTCTTTGACTTATCGCCAGTTTTATTGCAGATAAGTTGGTTTAACAAATTGTGGAAGCTTAAGCAAAAACTTTATGTCTGTATAATTTCTTTAACTCATTAATATACCCTTCAAGTTTTAGATTCAAATTAGAGCATTCTTTAAGAGGTCCTTTCTTCGGGCAGTAAAATATTGAGATTAGATTCTAGAGCAATAAAATAGCTAGATCAAAAATATTTAGCATAATCTTCAATGCTTTGGTATTTTTTCTAAAAATTTAGAAAATAAATATTTTAAATTTCTTTTCGACTTCAAAATAATACAATGCTTTCATTAACATGAAATCATCTAAACGAGCAAACGTTCTATAATTTTACTTTGAATATAAAAGCGTTTGAAAGCTCTAAAATATCGGCTTCCTTTCCATTTATTTTAAATGCCTTTTTCTACTTATCCTTCAGCAGATGAAACTATGATTAGCAGGGTTGCGAACCAGTTTCCACGCCATGGTTGTTAACTCTAGTAAGTTCTATTACTTTAGTAGTTAATCATAGTACTCTCAATACTTGTATTAACTATAATAAAACTTTTCTATCTGGGTCTGTTCCAAAACAACGAAACCGCTATTGTTGTCACTGAAACCGTTCTTGAGCTATTCTTATGACGAGGACTGACTTATCAGCAAACTTTAGGATGACAATCTTTCTGAGAAATATTAGTAGTACGTAATACTATAGCTTAACCAAATTTCACCAAAATACCTTTTATTTTATTAAGATCTTATTTTTACTAAAATTCACAAGAATCTTATATAGAAAACTCATAACACAATAAGTGTTATGCCAAAGCTATCAAACACAATCTGACAAGCCTTTAATTTACGAGATTAAAAAATATCGGGCTTTCAATAAATTAATTTATTGATTTAATTGGCAAAGACGATTAACTATAACTCAATTGTCTTCGCAATCGGGACTTGAATCGAACCACTTCGTTAATTAATAGAAAAAGCTTAACTATTTCATCTTTAAACAGTGATGATTACATATTCGACGACGACAGGTATTGTAAGCTCCCAAAATAGAAAATGACTCAAGAAATTTTGAGTAATTTTCAGTCAAGAAATATAAATACAAGATAACCCACAACTGATTAAATATAAAGACAGGTTGATTTAAGTGAAAAAATGAAAAATTTGAGAACGGCCTAGTTATGCCGACTATCAAATGTTCCGCTACAACGCCGGCACCTTCTAAATTTGGTATATGCAACTCAGTTGCAAGAGCTAAAAATTATATTCACGTAATTTAATTGAGCAATGGAGATATCTCATCTACACCGAAATCTATACCAAGTCTTCTTTTCAATCCCTATGTAGATCTAATATAAATATATTATGTCAAAGGGTACTTTAAGTTTCAGAAGCTTTAATGAAGACGGAAAATATTCTTCCTCGCTTATTTTTAAGGCACTCTTTCAATACCGACGGTATTCTGTAAGTCCAATTTGCCTGAAGTCTATTTTTAAGGCCTTTAGCTTTAGTCACAAACACCATTTTGAGACATTGATGTTTTCTCACTTAATAAAATTACTTAAAATAACTATTAACTTCCATAGAAAAGCATGAGCTAAGTACAGAAACCCCTCACGGTTGTTATAAAAATTGCATATCGGAAATTTTCCCGAAATTAAACATGTATCTTGTCGTTCAAAAGTGAAGCAATAATATGTCTCGTGTTTAATCTGCCTAAAGGGTTGTAAAGGTTGCAGAAACTATTTATCAAACTAATTTGATATGGGACAAACTTTTTGATGTATTAGTACGTATTTAAATTCAAAAATTTTTGATTTTCGTTAAGATTTTTGAATAATATGGTATACACCAATAAAGATTGAAAACAAAAATAATATATATATATTTAGAAAAAGTAATCTTACTTAAGAGTACTTAAAAGTAATATTTGAATAATATACGATTTTTATAGTCTGAACAATTTGCCACAAAATCTGCAACACTCTGAAGAAAACTTAAAAAACGACTCAGCATGACGAGCGGAGTCGATGTGGCCATGTCCGTCTGTCCGTCTATATATACGCAAAATAGTGCCTCAGTTTTTGAGAATACGATCAGAATTCTTACATACGTTCTTTTCTCCTCAAGAAGCTGATCATTTTTCTGAACCACCGATATGGAATCACAATATCATATATATACACATAGCTGCCATACAAACTAACCTACCAGAATCACGCTCGTATAAGAAAAACTTTTTTATTTGACAGGATATCTCAAAGCAACGCTACGATTCTCCAAACTTTTTTTGTTTAGATCGAACTACTATAGCATATAGCTACAATGTAAACTGAATGATCAAAATCAAGTTTTGGTATGGAAAACCTTTTTATTTTACAAGATATCTTTACGAAGCTTGGCATATATTATTATTCTAGGCAACGATATTATCTCTGAAAAAATCGTTCAGATCGCATGACTATAGCATATAGCTGCCATACAAACTAACCGACTAAAATCAAGATAAAGATATATTTATACTCTTTTACGCTATAAGTAATGCACCTGCGAAGGGTATTATAGCTTCCGTGCCGCCGAAATTAACGTGTTTCCTTGTTTTTAGAATTTTTTCTAGCTAACAGGGCTTTAAGTCTCTAAATATTATTTGAATAAGGGTGAGAGGATGTATAAAATTATGATTGTTTATATTATGTGCTTTGTTAGATAAAATTTCTCTGGCAAAGTCAAACAAAATGACCAAATAATTAAAAAAAAAAATTCTATGAATGATTATCAAAAAAATTATGTCAAAAATGTATAAAAAATATTAAGTCAAATAATTATTGTATGATTAAAAATTAATTTTATCACTCACCACATAAAGCAGAAATGTTTAAAAACAATTCAACATGTGCACGTTTCCTGCCAAACTGCTGTTGAATCTCTTTATGGCGCTCACAGTATCAGCTGTGTTTATTATTTTAATTGCTTTCACTGTTGTTGGTTTTGTTGTGGTTGTTGTTGTTGCAATAATGCCACTGTCGGCTACTAAAGCTGCTGTATACCATCCAGTTTGTGAAGCGCAGATGTAATCCATTTGTAAAATTAAACGGGACGTAACTTTGTCACACGCGTCACACACACACATATACACAAATACATATGTGCATGCCAGTAAGCGTACACCGAAAAACAGTTAGCTAATTTGGAAATAAGTTATAACTCGAAACAGATTTGTGTGTTTTTGAAATTGAATTGAAATTTATTTATTTAGATTTTTGTAATTTTTCACACTTTTGTTGTTGTAAAATTTGGCTGGAATTTCTAATGGCGTAAACAGAAATGTTTGATTGCGAGCAGTGCGGTTGTAAAAGTTAAATCAAAACGAATTTTGGTGGCAACTCAATAGCAATAAAATGCATTTATTTCACTTGATAAAGCATATGTGTAGCAACAACAATAACAAAAACCAATATACAACTTTTGTTGAATTTTGCGTTTTCCGCTAATTTGTTGCTTATTGCGACTTTCTTCGAGTTAAGAGCAGGTGAATGTTAATTTTTGTTGCACTTGTTTTTGTTTTTGTGAATTCACTTTTTTTGGCGAAAATAAAATGCGGTAAATGTTTTACAATTTTTTCCGGTGTTTTGACGTGTCAAAGTTGCAGTTTTTCGGCAGTAAACAAGTGTAAATAATTAAACGTTTACTCTTTTTTTTTTTGGTAAAAGTCTATATTTTTGTTGTTGTAGTCGCTTGCGTGTGTTTGCGTTTGAGAACAACGTCTTTTTGCCAACAAAAACGATTTTTAGTATTTCAAAATTATTTAATGTTGTTGTAATTTATTGTAAAATTTTTGTTGTAATTTGTGGTAACTTTTTCTTTTGTGTCATGCACAGTAATATGTATTGTAGCAACTGTTTTTGATGTCTTAAGTAAGTTCTTTCTTTCGCCTCTTTGTATGTGTGTGTTTTTGTTGGTTTTTTCACAGCGTTTGTTTTTTTTTTACAGAATTATGAAAAAAGCAGCGACTTGTAAATTTTTTGCTTTCAACGTAAATTATTTTCCAACCAATCACAACACTCAATCGATCAGCAAAGTCTGCGCGCTGTTGTTGTCAAATCCGAGCTTCTAGAAGATTATTATTTATAAATTATCTGCGTGTTTCGTTTCGTTTTTTTTTAATATTTTTTCTTTTGTCCTTTGCTAGCGTTTTGCCTCTGTCTGCTGCTACTCGGGGCGTATTTCAACAGCAGTGCAATATTTTTGTGATTTTTTTTTTCACTTTTTTCTCAGCACTTTAATTTTTTTCAGCGATTCTTTTTAAGAATTTTTGCCAAAACTGTTCTATTTTTTTGGTACACTTTAATTTTTGCAGTTTTCTGAAATTTCACAATTTTGCAAATACATATGTATTTATTTTTTATGTAATTTTTAGCTTTTTTTTGGTCACCGAAACAGTTTTTAGAGTTAATACATTCACAATTTTCGCGATTTTTTCTTCAATTTTTTTGTAAATTTCTGCTTAATTTCCACTTTTTATACACAAAACTTTTTTGTGACGATATTTTTTTATACAACGTTAGCTTTTTAGCTACTTCTAGCTCAGTTTCTTTTCAATATTTTTCTTTTGTTGCAATTTTAAGTTAGTTGTAATGACGATTTGTGTGCTCATGCCGCATATTCATATATTTTGTTGTTAGTAAAGTGATATTGATCTGCAAGAGAGAGAACTGAAATTAGTACGAGTGGTGAATTTTTTTTATTTTTTTTTATCTTTTCGAGTGAAATATGCAAAAAATGTCTGCGATGTGCAAGTGGTTAAAAAAAAACTAATTTTCAATTTATTTTTATCCCCTTTATACAAATTCAAAATTTTTTGAAATTTTATTGCCATTTTAATACTTTTGGAAATATTTATTACAAAAAAAAATAATCGATTTGGTTAAAAAAATATTTAGAAATTATAATTTTGAAGCTGTGTTCAGCCAAGATATGCCCATGTAAGTATATATATTTATTTCAAAAGCTCTAAAATCATTATTTTAAATGTATGTTATAAATTTTATAATAACAAAATAATCGTTTTCTCTACTGATTTCTGTTTAATATGAGAAAGTTTTGTATTATAATCATTCTAGGCCTCTTTTTGATAAATTTCGGCAGTCGTTATTAACTCTAAGCATACTTAGAACACAAAACCTTATTAGTCGCTGAATTTAATAAATATTTTATAGCCTTAACACCATAGTTTTCAAAACTTGCTGTAGTTTTATTTAAAATTAAAAGTTTCTAATTTATTTTTTCAAGATTTAATGTGTAATAATGTATTTTCGCTGGACTGAAATTTTTTACAAAATTTTCGGGAATTCAATGAATTTGAGAAAAAAAATTTTATGTTTCATATTTTTGCACTAGAAACTTGATGGTAACCGTTTATGATTTTCTGTAAATCAATTTGGCGAAGAAGTAGGAAATCCATTTCACCGGTCTGACTATTTATAATAAAAAATTTTATTTAACTCACATGCGCTTCGAAAAATAGCAAATTTCTTTGACATATAACAGCACCAAAAATTATGGTCCTAAAAAGAGTTTCGGATTGGTATCAAAAATTATGATTTCAAAAAATGTTTCGTATCTTTTTGCATATTGCGCTTGATTTTAAGACACTAAAAGAACATTTTTTTCGGTAGAAAATTGTGTAAAATTTTTCGAAAAAAAATTATAATACTACTGTTGGAATTGAAACAAAGCTGGCAGATAATCTCAGAATATTTTTAAACTATTTTATTAATCTCGGTTTTTTCAGCTAACATATTTGGAAAAATTTTCGACAAAAATTTGAGTTCGATTTTTTAATTTTTTTATATATTCAATTTAAAACGTATATTTTTGTTCAATACAATTTGAACACTTCTTTACATTTCAGCCCTAATTATTTAAATAAGATTATGAAAAACCATATTTTTAGTTTATAAGCAAATATTTTCACTTCAAATATATCAGAAATTCAAACAAAAATTTGTTGTATTTAAAAAACTTTGAGTTTGAAATATTGAAAGCCAAATATGCTTGCGACACTTAATTAGTTGTAGGCTTCGTTAAAAACATATTGCTTATTTATTTTGATTTTGTGTCAAAATTTTGTGACGAAAAAAAGTATGCGTCTTCCAGATTTTGAAAAAGTATAAGCGAATCCAGATATATGAAATCAGTAGAATTTGTAGAAGAACAAACAAAACTTTAATGGTTTTTCAGCAGGTGAGCAGTAAAATTTCTGAAAACTTATTCAATTTTTAAACAATTAATTTTTTTAATATTTTTTTTTTACAAAATATGAAAAAAATTTGTTCTTTCCAATATTGTTTTCAACAAGTTTTTTTAAAATTAGTTTAGTTGTATTAAAAAGCTACAAATTAACTAATTTTAACTTTCAAATATTCACAACACAACGTTTGTTTGCAAAAAATCCACAAAAAAACTGCGTCAGCGCCTAAAAACACACTACGCACAATAATAAAAACACAAAAAAATTTATAAAAACACAACTCAACGTACTTTTAACAAATTTCAATTTCTTAAATAGCGATATTTTCACAATTTGCCAATTCAATTACATTTTACCGGCTTTTCGCGACGCAACATTGCTTGCGTGCGGCAGCGAGTGCTGTTTAAGCGGCGGTATGAGCAAGCGAAGCGCAGCGCACTGCTTTTGCATGCATTTAATGGTAGCGGGTGTTAAAAACATTTTTTCAATTCTTTTACTAATTTTACAAAATTCACTTGAACGCAATTAAAATGTACGAGTATTTGGGGAATGTGCACGAAACACTACACAGCGCGGGTGAAAATGTTGCAATGAACGGTAAATGACGAAATGCGACTTATCCACTTTTTTCATACCTTTTGGTGAGTTTTTCTTTTATTTATAACTATTTTGCAACTCAAAAATTTTTTTTTATAATAGATATATATATTTTTTAATAATTTTTTTTGTAATTTGTATAACTTTTTGTTTTGTTGTTGTGTATGTGTTGTGTACTGCACTTGTCCGGCGAATGAGAACAACAACACACGCGCGCAACAAAATTTTTTCGCCGGTGCAAGCCAAACAAACGTACGAAGGTATCTGCAAGAACTGCAGTGGCATCGCGTGCAAAATCTCTGTCAGAGCCGGTGGCAGACACATCGCGGCGCGTCGCGTCGTCGCATGCCGTCGTCCATCCGCAACACAAAACCCTTCGAACCAACAACACCAGCAACAGCGTCCAAGCGAACACACGACACTTGAGCAAAAGCCAAAAAGCTGCAGCAACAACAAATGCAATGTATGGACTATTGGCGGGGGGCGGCGAGCGGTGACAACACAGCGAGGCAGGTTGCACGTTCAATACAACGCACTCAAGCCAACACAACGCCAAATCACTCAGCGCCCAAGAAGGTAAATGTGTGTGTTTTTATTGCTGCAACTGGCTTCGTGCATGTGCGTCTTGCTTGCAACAAGGCTATAACTCTTTGGTGTTGCAAAAGAGCGTATGCTAGTGGCAGCCAACGAAGAGAGTGCGGCGCCTTTATTTGCTGTTAAGTTGGCTAAGAGCAACGCGTGTTGCGAATTGATGTCTCTTGGCAGTGAACATGCAACAGCAGCAGCGTCAGCGTTGCATGCAACATTCACTGTTGCGTCGCATTGCCCTTGCAACACGTTGTTGCATAGTATTTTGCTTTTTTCCTTTTATTTGATTGTAGTTTTTTTTTGTTTTTGCATTTTAGTAGTTTCTTTTGTGCGTTTCTTGTGACGAGCGCAAATCGTGTGTTGTTGTGTGGTGTGTGAAGGGCGAGATGGCAATTGAGCGCTGTGCTTTGTGAAGGTGTTGGTGTTGTTTGGTGGCACAAGTGCAATGGGTAGGCGGTGGTAATCAGCTGCTTTGGCGCTCTCGGTTTTTGTTGTTGTTAACTGCAAATGTCATACGTCTGCTTGATTGATGGGAATTTCATGAATTTCGTTGATGAGTTTTGGAAAATATTTTGAAATGTGGAAAATTGTTATTTTTTAAAAATATATTTGTTAATATATTTATAAACTGCCAAGAAAGTGGATTTTAGAGTTATCTGACACCAATTTTAGTTTAGCTCTCGACTTGCCAAGACGCTATATTTTGGAAATGTAAAAATATTTTTTCAAAATCTTAAACTCAAAAATACTTGTTTAAAGAGTCAAAAAAATCTAAAGTGCTCAAGTTTTCGAAAAAAAAAATTTTTTTATTTACATTTTATTAACAACATCTGAAAATATCGCGTATTAGAATTCAAAATCTCACTGAATACGCATCGACAAACATAGAGTAGAGAAGGCTACGTAAAAATGGCGCAAAACCGAAAAATTCTTCCAATGTGAAAGCTTACAGTTTTCCCCAAGTTATTAAACAGAAAAAAGTTTGGACACAAGTGCTCCAATAGAGGATTGAGTATTCCTCGCCATCCCGTTTGGAAACATATTTTTAATGGCACAAATGAAATTTCGAAATATTTTAGAGGAAAAAAGCAGAAAATTTTAATGTTTTAAAATTAATATTTCTAAAAATAGAGGTAAAAACAGATTTATCTTTAATACATACATACATACATACATATTGGTACTCCGCTATTTTAACTCGATTTTTTGTTTTTTATTTCACACGTAAAAAATTCACTTTTAACAGCACAAAATCTATATTTTATACTTTTTAATTATTTTTCCAGCAAACTATTTCAACACAGTTCTAAAAGTTCACAATTCTACAAGTGAAGTGTCTGAAATATTGAAATTTTGTTATCAGAAAGTAACCTAAAAATAACGGGGATATAAATATTTTTTGAAAAAAATGAAACCTTTTTAAAAAATAAAGCAAAGTTAAATAATTTTAATATAATTATTTAATTTTCTTAATAAATATTTTTAATTTTTTTTTAAGTTAATTTTTTTATTGTTTCTAATTAAATTTTTCGAATATATTTAATTAACTATTTATACTTTTTTTTAATTAATATTTTCATAATTTTTAATTAACCATTTTTAATTATTTTTAATAAAATATTTTTCTAACTATTTTTAATTATTTTTAATTTTTGTTATCAAATATTTTTAAATTTTTTCTAACTAGTTTTATTATAAAGCACCGTTTTGTATGAACATATTTACATATAAAAAATATTGCACAGTTGTTTTTGAAAAGTTATTTTAACAAATACTTTTGTCTACTTGCAGCATTTATAATAATATAGCTTTTAGACAGACATTTATCGCATTCAAATAAATACTTATATTAAAACAAATTGTTGTAGTTTATAAAATTGGTATCAAAAACTGAAATGCAGTTTTTAAAAAGAATATTAAATTTTATATGCGAGAAAAATAAACATTTGAAGGAAACAAAATCATTTTTAACTTAATTGTTTTTTATTACGAATTTTTCTGAATACGTTGCAACAAAAATTTAATCAAATTTTATTTTATTTTATTACACATTTTTTTATTGTGAATAAAAAAAATGTTTTTATTAAATATATTTTTATTTTTTATTTATTTTTAAAGTGTTGTTTTTATATGTTTTATTAAGTTATTTTTATATTTCGTTTTTAACTTATTATTGCTATTGTTTTTGTGTTACTATTTAAGCCTATATATCATCCTTTATTGCAATAAAATCACACTTTTATAAAAAAAAAAAATACCACG